CAGTTGCCTCGGTTTGCAAATTCCCTTGACTTCAAAAATGCATTTGATTCACTAGGTCATTTGACGGCGTGGAAAATCGTAAAATGCTATGGGATGACTAAGCACATCATTTATATTTTGTAAGAGTAATGCAGGAACCATGCCTGCTGTCAAAGTTGAGGGAAAGCTGTCTGAAGGGTTCGCTGATAATTGTGGAATTCGCTAATGAGAGGTGCTTTCGCCTTTGTTATTCAACGTTGTTCTCGACTTTCTTTTTCGAAACACTGCTGACTCTGAAAGTGACGATGGTCTCATTTTAAAGGGAAAGCGCAGCGCAAGATATCCGACTGGATATCTGGCTAATCTGTATTACTCAGATATAATCCTGATGAGTAGTACGGTATGCGAGTTCTGTACTGACGGCTACCGTATGCAATACTGCTTAGAGCCGGTCTCTTCCTTAACGCCTGGACGTCGGAAGTTATGAGGAACCGATCCTGCGCAGATGATCTTCAAGTGGAACATGAAAGTGAAGCCCTTCCGGAGGTTTGCCTGTTTAGGTATCTCGGCACTATCATTTCTAACGATGGCATTCTCCAGCCAGAGTTAGGCAGTAAGATTGTCTTAGTTTCGAGTGCTTTTGGAAACCTGTACAATAACTGAACTCAGAAATGATTTCTCTTTCCGTGAAATCTACCTGTACCATGCCTCTGTCAGGTCATTGTAGTTGTACGGCATGTTGATAGATGTTCTAAAGAATGAGCAGGAAAGACGGTTGAATACTGTTGGCTTAGACGCATAATGCGGGTTAAATGGCAGAACCACGTATGGAATGATTCTGTTCTCTTCTGGCCACAGGTGATCTCGGTAGGTGTGAAGATTATTAAACTGAGGTTGGATCTCTAAGAAAAATTAGCTGAACATGCACCGTTTAGTCCAGCCAGTGAGCTTTTCGTGTGTGAGTCAAAACACGACAGGCTTACACCAGCCTGTAACATGGAGGAACAAAGTAAAGAAAGATCTGCTTACGGAGAGGAATATTTTTTTCGACGAGGTAATCAGTGAGCCATAGCAAAAATGTTTCAATGCTGCGGATACAGCGAACGTAATCCACCATAGATGTTCTACTTTCCTGAACAGCTCAAGGAGATTATCTCAACAAAAACAGCATCCCAGTCCCTTCTTTTTTAACACAATCGACTGCGTTGTTTTTCTGTGTCTGTATTTTGGTAAATTGTTTGACGGTCATTCATTCAACATGAGCATTAAGATTTTTATGAGCGTTTTCCTTTTTGCAGTGCAACCGTTTGCTGCGCTGGTGCCCGGCTCCTGATTGTTGTAACGCTATCAAAGTGCAGTACGCTGATTCCAAACCCGTCACTTGCAAGTGTTCTTTCACATTTTGGTAAGACTTATCGACGGTTGGGTGTGTGTCGATCTGTTGCTCGTCTTGTTTGCCAGTGCACTAATTTCCACAAATGTTAACTAGTTTTCTGGTCAGAGGGTATTAGAGACCTCGATGAAATCCGCCCAGAGGGAGCGATGAAGCGAATCGTCTCATTATCGTGTGTAGTTTTGTTTAGAGTTCCTAAGTAACATCGAGACGGTTATAGCGCAGTACTTTCGCCATCCCGTCTTTCGTATCGGACTTTTAGACTGGCTGTAGCTTCTTTTAGTAGCCATTATTTAATCGCCATATATACACACCACGTGATCCTGCTATTACATATCCAACTTCGCCAGTGTTGTTTATTTTTGTTTCAGCTAATCCACCTGTGTATTTGTTGTTTCTTACATAGAACCCAGCATTTCTTTCTGCGACATTTTACTTTAAACAGGTAGTTACAGAATGCAATATATTCAATCATTGCAACTAGTTTTCTCTCTTCCATTGATTGATCTGGAATGGTCTTTTTAATGAAACTCGTTATTCTGAGAAACGTTGAACTACTTATCTACAGAAGCTGTTTGTCAGCCAGCTAAACTGGATTGCACGGATGGGTGTAGCAATAGTGCTGATTTCAACTAGAGCACTGAGTGCTAAATTATTGACTACTTAACTTCTGGCGATTGACCATTAATCTTCCCTTCCAAACTGAGCAGATCCGAAAGCCGGATTAGAGCTTGTTTCATCGTTTCTATGACTCGAAAATATTATCTGGCCTTGTTAATAGCTAGCACCTTAACAACAGGCATGGAAGCCACTGATCAAGTGGACGGAATAACTGTTTTTACCCATCGACATGTCTTGCATTTCTTGTGGATGGCTTTGTAAGTGCGCATTTCCACTTTGACGAAATTTCCACTTCAGTTTCGCCTGCGCTCACGAGTGGCATGACCCCGTCAGTTGCTTGCTGTTGACTAAATGGCTAAAGAAGTGCAACGATGATAGCGAGACATCGAACTGGATTGCAGCGAATACAAAGGTGGGCTATATGACTTTTCCATGGGCGTTTCTTTTGCTAACTATTGAGTTTTTTTACGTTTCAGGAGTGTCCGAAGTGTCACGTAACGATAGAAAAGGACGGCGGTTGCAATCACATGACGTGCAAGAATCAGTGTTGCAAGATGGAGTTTTGCTGGGTATGCCTCGGACCATGGGAGCCTCACGGATCATCATGGTTAGTCGCATTACGTTCTTATGTCGCTTGTGCACCCATCAATACGCATTTCTTTTTGCAGGTACTCGTGCAATAGGTATGACGATGCTGCCGCAAAGGCCGCCAGGGATGCGCAGGAGGTGGATGTTATTTCTCATGTTTCCCATTGGACTCGCTCTATAGTGTGTGTTTTCTTTCAGCGATCTCGGGCCGCTCTGCAACGCTACCTGCACTACTGCAATCGATACATGAATCACATGCAGAGTTTAAAGTTCGAAAACAAGGTAGCTGGTTTGAATTCATTTCACTTTTTTAACCGTTGTGATGACTGAATGCCTCCATGAATAAACGATCGTCTTGATCGTTCACATCCTTCTTGTTATCAAAACTAAAAGTTTCCCTTAACCATTTTCTGTGGACATTCAGTGCATAAGAATTGTTGCCAATGACGAACGCAGTGGTCGTCGGTATGGTCAAATGCTGCATCTATCATAGTGTCTGTTAATATGTGACGCGGCTCATGTAAATGTCAGTACTTAAATATAGCGAAAGATATGTAATTTATTATACCATTTAGCTATTATTAACTCCGCATCTAAGGCTGAGTACGGTTAGGAGAAGTGACTGATTATTGGTGAGTTATGTGGGTTCGGTATTTTAGCTGTACGTAACGGTGAAGTGCAAAATGGAAGAGATGCAGCAGCACAACATGTCGTGGATCGAAGTTCAATTTTTGCGCAAGGCTGTTGACGTTCTGTGTAAGTGCCGCCGAACACTCAAGTACACATACGTGTTTGCCTACTACCTTCTTCGAAGCAACCAGTCTATTATTTTCGAAGTGAGTCAATCATTTGTTCGTGTGCATGTTGTTTTGATCGCCTTAGCATGTGCCTGTTTCCGTTTCTGTATCCGTGTCTTCACTGGTAAGTCACCCATATGAGGCATTCTTTCTACATGATTTTTGTGCTGCGACGTCAATCTTTATTTCTTTGCCACCAACCAGGAGTTTTATTTATGAAGCTACTGTATTAATCTAGATGACAAACTCAGCGTATCTTTGCCTGTTGACGCCCACTCTTTGTGGTAGTTGTTCATTTTCCTCAGCAAGATGCGATGTAGACATTTTCAGCACCTGAATATCTTTCGCGGGTCTGTTTCAAATTCCTTTGAGATTTTAATTCTAGGAAACTGCTGTAAGCATTTTTTGGAGGATGTGCTCTGCATAGTCTACTCGCCGTAGCCACAGTCGCATACTTAAGCTCATTTATAACGTCAGTTGATATTGGTCATGTCACGCTGCCTTAACGATATGCCATGAAGTTCATCGTGAGCTACGTCTCTGCTGAGGTGGTTTCTCTTGGAATCAAGATAGAGCTGTTGACAATTCGTCATATACTCACAGGAACAAAGCAGCTGCTTATTACAGTTACAAGGTACTATCTGGAGGTGCCTCCGTTCGTGGTCCAGCCATGTAGCGGAACAGACGTTTCTGTGACGGTCAATTAAGGTTAGGAATAGAAGGCAAAGCAGTTTCATCAGCAAGTCCGCATTCTGAACATTATCTTGTCAGCTAAAGTGATATCGATGTCTGGTTACCAATGTTGAACTAGGTGAGAATAGTAGAATCAGTGTTCTAGAAGAAATGCGACATGCGATAAAACAGTTAAAACAACAGAAGGCTTTTGCCGAATTTCCTCGTGGAATCGGGAATTGAAGCATTGACCAAAATATTACGGTTTATGTTTTTACCTTGTCTCAGAAAAATGAAAATTTAAACGATTTGACTACTGCATCTGTGATTCGGCTCTTCGAAAAAAGACTCGGGATTTGACGAATTATAAGCTGATCAGCTTGTTCTCAATCATCTACAATATTTTGATGGTCTTTTTGCAGAACAGACTTCAAGAAAAACTGGACGCTGCACAGCCAAAGGAGCAAACAGAATTCAGTCATGTTTAGGTGATACGACAAGTAATTCAAACAAGCAACGAATGTCAGCTTCCTCTCTATCTGAGGGTCGATTTCCATTATGTTTCGACTTAGTGCACCACCGTTCTGTATTGGATTCCTTTAGCAGTAAGAGAATCAAGAAAAGTTACATAAACCGGATCACCATGATTTGCAAGAATGTAACTGCTAACGGGACCATTCACGGAAACATGCAGCTTCAGAATCGAAAAGGGTGTCAGACAAGGCAATGCTGTATCACCGAAGTTATTCACAGCAGCTATAGAAGAGGTTTTCAAGACACTACTTTAAAAATAGAGGAATAAGGGGCTGAACATAATTGGGCACTACTTAAGCCTCATGCGGTTTGCGGATGACTTTCTCATCCTCTAAGTGATACCAAACGAACTCCACAAGGAAGAATCCAAGAGCTGAATGACGCCAGCATGGAATTGGAGCTGCTTATGAACCTCGAGAAAATTCAGGTCATGTTCAACAAATACGTGATCGCGAAACCTGAAGTTGAAGTCAACGGATTTAGGCTT